CAAAAGATATATATTTATATGCAACTGTTTTGAGCGTCGTAAAAATTTCGACTTCAATCAACGAGCAACTACAAGATCTGGATTACATTCTACGATAGTACAGCGTTTTAACGCTATTAAAATATTAAAAGCTATTAAAATAGCTAAGCACTGAAAATTCTAAAATTACAACACCAAAATGCACTAAAAATAGAATCTGCACGTGACATTTTTGTATGTAGACACAGACACTCGTACATACACACTTTAGTCTGCAGTGCTGACCAGGCTGACCTACGATATACACATATACGCAATATGCACATTTTTGTATATGTACGCATAGTTTACACAGTTCACGAATACAACTTAGTTTTAATATCGAAATAACCAATAAGAAATCTAAAATTTTAAAGAAATCTTAAAACAATTTCTAATGAAACATGTTGTAATTCACTATTATATATAAAAACGCGTTCTTGACAATTTTGATTTGTTTTTCATTTCTCGGGCCTTTATCTCTATATCTTGTGGCAATCGGCTTATCACAAGTTGCGCATTGAAAACTATAGCAGGTTCAGTTGAATAAAAGATTATTTACTGGAATCACTGATTGGTGAATAATGCTTTTTTCGGACTTTTCCTTACCCGTATCTTAGATGTTTTCTTCATTTTCTTCAGGTACTTTCTCATTACCCTCGCCTCTTTCCTGTACTTGGTTGAACAGCAGCAGTTGTATAATGTCATACACCATTCTAAGCAACTCGTACAAGGCCCTCAGTAGGGTTATCAGTGGTACAATAACAGCTTCGTTTGGATCAGTACTCATCGTGTTTACTGCTGTGGTGTAGTGGCAGTACGTACGATGAAATATGATGAAAGCCTGCTGTCTTGTATTCTCATACTATTTATATACCGCGTAAATGAGGCGTGATCTGATCCCTTATTGGTAGATTAGTACGTTACGTATGGTTTGTTTCGTCGCCCCGCCAGGTCAAATTAATTACTGCTGTGAATTAATTTTTATGAGAAAGCACAGTGACAAGCATCAGATAGGGTTGTTTTGATGGGTCAAGCATCAGATAGGTAACTTTTTACAAGTCGTGGCGTGTTTATGAAAATTGCAGTAACGCATGCGCGCAATTGAAAGAAATTTTTAAAATACGTACGAGAAATTCATGGCGTGGAGTTTAGAATGAATTAGTGACGAATACAAAACATCCATGACAAATAGAAAACACGTATGTTGGAACCTTGATTCTGAGCATGTAAATGACGAAATATCAATATAAAATAATCTGCTAGATTTTGAAATTCATGTGATGAACTTCAAGTTCTCATAACCATCCATTTTGGCGAGGATGGTACTTACGCCTTAGGGGAAACACAGAGGAGGTTCCACTAGTATCCCAGAATGCATTGTGTTTGATACTAGATGATGGCTAGTGAACACTAGCGTGGACTGCGTCGGTGTTTCTAATGAAACAAGTTATCGTAGAATTATAAGTTGAACACCGTAGTGAAATCGAGGAAGAGACGTGTCGCTCTTGTTCCAACAACGAGTGACAACTCTTCGATGGATTACTTGTTCAATAACGTCCGTAGCCCAGCTCTTATTCACCTTACTTCAACATCTAGTATAGGAGTAAGTAAGGTTTATTAAATATTTTTGTTTTGTATGAAATGGGCAAAAAATATCATACATTTTGCCATAAATTCTCGTAAATATACTTCAATTGTTACTGTCCAAAAGACTATAAATCATGGGTCACTTTTGGTCATTTCAAGATTTTGCTTTTCCTAAATATCTGAATTACACATATTTGTTGCTTAAACTTAAAATACTCAAATATGTGAAAAGCAGCAATTACTTGATGTACCATATAAAATCCAATATGACATCAGGTATGACACCACGTGACAAAGTGAACTCGAGCGATATAACTCTTACAATTGGCGCAAATCCAAACAAATATGTATGTAGATTAAGAGTATTTCTAATAAACAATACAAGTTCATGAGTTTTTACCTCGAACAGGTCACGTAACGGCTGATACGGAAAGTTAAAGTCGCACACCGCTACACACGAGTAGAAAGCGACGCCATATTGGAAAACGAAACTCGCAAAGTAACTTGGGATACTAGTGTATCCTCATCTGGGGGAAACTCCTAATCAGAAATTACCGATTAGTTATTATTATAATATTCTGTCACGCCATCTCACTTGTCAAGTATGCAAATCTGATACGGTCATACTAGTACTGCAGGGTGAAATGTTTTACATTTTCACATTGCTTATGATGGAAACGGCATATGATTGGATTTGGTTCAAAACACCTAGAAATATTCTAGGAATTTTTATTCCAGTCGCCCATGTGAGCTGACTTGGCTGGTTAGTTTTGATTTCTTTTACCTTTCTGTTATATTTACATGGAAGACACGGTTCGTAATTCCATTACGTCATCTCATTCGCATACGAAATAGGGATACGGATAGAAGATCATTTTAGTGTCCTCGATTGGTTRTCACTAGAAACTAAATCCAATGACGTATAAATTATTAAAAAAAAGAAAAATCATTTTGTTTAACCGTGTAGAGTATTTATACAAACCGATCATTTGATTTGCTTTCTTTAAAGAATAATAAATGTTTAGTAATAAAAACCTCAATTACGAAGCGTCGTGTGTTATTTTCGTATTCTTAGAATCATAAACCAATTAAACAGTACTC